TGGGGGCACGGCCATGTCACCATTTGTTTCTGGAAACCTGTCAATTCAGCTTAAGGAAAAATGGTTCTGGAATCCATGGACACACATACAAATACTACTAAATAACAAAAGAAGGAAAGGAAAAAGTCATACAGTGTGCAACGACTATTGGCAAATTGGTGATGCAACTTACAGTGAAAATAGACCATTTTTCTAGTATTTTAAGGACTTACTTATTGCCCATTATGCATCGACTTGGGTGAGATACGGTTAAAGCATAAAAAATAATTCATCCAGAAACAAATACGTCAAAAACAGTTCCAATATGCTTTACGAGCTCCCAAGAGTCATTTGACAAAGAAATTATTGATCTGAGGGTTGTGTCGAAATAGATGTGGTATCTTTATTTTTAATTAATAATATCGAGTTCAAGCTTTGAACACTGAAGAAATTCTGATAAAGAGTACTTTTCGGACGTTACAAGAAGATAAAACCTTAATCGGATCCAATTAACTTCGTCCTTTTTTATATAGAGAGTGAAGGCGTCACTATCTACTCATATTTTTTCTTCTACACTCTCCAGCCTGACATTTTAGACTTGCATTTGTTTGATTTGGCCCCACGCAATTGTAATATTGATCTCTTACGTTTCTCCATTATGTACTGTACATCTCTCTCTAGTTGATTTAAATTCTATATATATATTGATGGTCTATTTTATAAAGTCGACCAATAATTCTGATTTAATATACGTAGATTAAGAATATGGTAAAAAGTGGAACCAGGTGCGTCTTTACTTTAAACCCTATTCCCTGATTTCCCTCACCTTTTCATAACAAATTATCCACTTTGATTTGCTTCGAGATTTAAAGTGTTTGAAAATTTATATTTTTCGGCTCGAAGAAGTGTTCAGAATAATAGTTACTGAAAAGTATTGCGTAAATAGTTACCATTATTGCTTTATGACAAGAAAATGTCTTTTTGACGGAGATATGTAGGAGACAAGTATATGTCTTTTGTGTCTTATTGTACAAGGTGAGTGCACTAGGCGTAGTGGCCCATTAGCTCAGTTGGTTAGAGCGTCGTGCTAATAACGCGAAGGTCGCAGGTTCGAGACCTGCATGGGCCAAAATGTTTTTTGTTTTAGTTGATTCATTTTCTGCAGATTCGGTTGTCATATCAACCACATGCGGCGCAGGTTGTTGAAGAATGTATATATGGATGGCCCATTTAGGTGGAAAAAGCGACGTGACAAATGCAGTTATTTGAACCTTGCAAGAGGTTTTGTACTTGCTTAGTGGCGCCAAAACAACTACTGTTAGTAAAAGATAAAGCCCATACTCACAAGTAAAGCGACTTGATAAACTTTGTTTATCTATTTGGGCAATGTTTAACTGCATCGTATAGAATTGTTTGGTTAACTAATCTCACTTTCATAGTATGATTACGTTACTCTGTAAAAGCCGGACTACAAGTGTTATCTGATTTCTCTAATTCCTCAACCAAAACATAACAATTATCTTACCTACAAGCAAATCCGACGATAAATGCGCTATTATCTACCACTAAAGACGAGATCAAATGAAGTCCTCGTTTACTTAAGACTTCTTTTAATCGTTTCAAAATGCGCTATTATAAGCACTTCGTTAATTGTTTAGCGCTAGTATTTCCTAAAGAAATATTTCTTTCGAAATTATAACTTTGAATTCAAGGAAAACTGACTATCTGAATGCATTGTCTACGTAGCATGAAATTTCAACATATAATTCTAGCTAGGCTCAATAAACAATTTAGAATTCCACATTTTGAATCTCGATGTAAAGTACCTCTATGCTAAAAAGATTTGTTTTTTCCGCGTATACTAACAAGTTCATAAACAAAGAGTAATGCTATGTTCGTGGATCAAAATATATTTATCGAAAAGGAAAAGTAGAAGAGTGGAGTATTGACCATGTAAAAGATGTGGCAATTTAAAAATTGATGAACGGCTTTCTTTTATTATTAGGGAATTGCAGCAACCAGCACTCCACTCTAGAATATGCTTTGATACAAGTGAACTATTTCCCACTATATACCACAATATTATACTTATGCTATCCACTGATGGTCTATTTGAAATCTTCTAACTGGATATTCACGTTACGATAACACAAAGTTATGTAATAAAACATCAATTTCTCAGAAAGATAACTTATTGAAAAACATTGGCGCGCATGTAAACAAGATCCAATATCAAGTCTTATATTTGAAAAGTAACAAGACACGTGGTGGAATTAAAACAGTTTAAAATAGTCTCGCGTGCTGTTGAATAAAGAGATTGTTCTCTTTAGATAGCATTATCTGCAACAAACTCTATAGACCAAAATGATTCTCAGGCTCATCTCCCTAAACATCCGTATTTACTATACTATCTTTTACTAGCTTCCGACGGTTAATGTGAAGTTTCCTAACATGACAAACGAGGTCTCATGAACAAATATTTTGATAAAGCCGATTCTCATTGATGATATAATCTATAATAATGACATAGTATTAATTACACTATCAAAGGGAAATGCATAGACTCAGGACAGGGGAAAAGAATGTACACTAAAACGACCAGAATACAGATATTGCTGCTGGTTGTTTAGAAGAAGCAATTTCAAACCAAATACCTTTCTGGATTACAAAGGCAAACTCTGTGGGAACCGCGCTTGGCATGGCGGCCGCTGGCTACACAAGGCCATTGGGCCAAAGGTCTCTGAAATACCATTCATCTTAGAGACCTCTATATAGAGAATGGCAGCAGAGAACAGCACATGAGAACACGTAAACCAACAGGAACTTCCACCAAAATTTTCTCACGGAGGACTTTCACTTCTCTAAACACTCACTTCTATGCACCTTTACGAAGCTAACTTTTCCGAGAGCCTCTAACAGTTGGACTAGTCACCATCCGTGAACTCATACTTGCAGTTCTTAGAAGCCTACGAAATTCTGACAAGCTTATCTTCCCATCTTTGTCAATATCTGCTTCTTCTAGAAGTGGGTCTATGGAGCCCTTTAGGCCGGTATGCTGTGTGAACATAACCATCATGTAAGTAAATGTCAGATATGCCACAATTTGGGGCTAGCATATCCCAACAGAATATGCAAACTATCAATATGGAGGATCCACACTTTCAAAGATCAATGAAAGATTTATGTGCTTAATAAGTACAGTATAACCATGTAGCTTAGCAACTCTTATTTCTTTTCTTCTCGCCTTTTTCTTTTGGAAGAAGCATCGGAATACCACATTGTTAACCACTTGAAGTAGAAAATATGACATACTAACCATTCTAAGTTCTTCCGGAGTTATGAATCCATCTCTATCAACATCAAATTTCTCAAAAGCAGCTTGCGATCTTTCCTGCCATTTTGTAGAATTATGCTCCTCCAACTGGTGGACATGTAAAGTGGCTGCGACAAACTCCGGGAAATCAACTAGCCCATCTGTGTTACTATCAATCTGCCAATCAATGAATAAAATGCTTCAGGATTCTGAATTGTAGAAGAAACCATGTAGTAGGAAATGAAGAAATGTATATGCAGAAAATAAGAGCATGGACAATTGTTGAGTAACCCCTCAGATCATCACATGGATTCATGAGCCGGAATCACAGTACTGCTATGTGACATCAATAAGAGCATTAACAATTTTTTTCTTTATATCATTTTTTATGGCTGTTTGTGCAATTGTCCGATCCTTTCCTATCTCTTTTGAGAGAAGTAGGCACTAAATTGGTTGGTAACATATTCCAGCTTGAAGCCACATCAGGTATTACATAGCAATAACTTAATCATTCATCACATGTCCTATTGCAGTGCTATACTTCATTCTTAGATAAATGAGTTTACCGCTTGAAGAATCTCAAGAACCCGTGACTCTTTCATCTTCCAGGGAAGATCCTTAGCAAGGGCCTGCATTAGAATTGAATGTCATAAGCCATAACTTAGATGACAAAAGGAACATAATCGTACACAACGCTTAGCAGAAAGACAGAAATCTACGTGCTCGTGATTTTAGCCAGATACTTAGAGAACTGTACAGGAAAAAACTAACTAGACTATGAAAGATAGGAAATACCTGTCTCATTTCTTCAAGGCTAATGACACCATTTTTATCCACATCAATTGCAGAAAACTGATCCCGGACATCTGCCAGTTCCTCCTCATCAACTGTGCTAGCCAATGCCTGCCAGGTAAGGAAATTTCATGAAGTTAATGTTTTGTACATTTTGTTTTGACTTGGCCACAAAAAGGCCTAAGAAAATAACAAGCTATGAAAATTTACCCGTAAAGCAAACTGTTTTAATCGACTGTATTTGACAAATTGTCGCATGTTGGATAAGACGGAGATGTCCAGTGGAATCTCAGATGCATCACCTCCTTCGCGAACCCATGGATGAGCTGAAATGTTTGAGGATATCAGTTTGAAACACGTAGTTTGTTGTATCAACAATTTAAGGTGATGACCACCAGTAACATCTAATTGATTAAAAAAACTGTGAAAATAGGCATATCTGAAAGTTGTTCAATAAGTTATCAAACATGGAAGATATTTAGCCAAAACTGATAGCTATAATGGACATCCAACACCAAACAGTGCTGATGAAGAAGTAGGTTACTCAAAACTGACAAAATCAGTGTATGAATCTTTGGACCTTGAGCTACTCCTCTGATGAATCATGCATTGTCATAGTAAAACTTAAACAGCACTTAAGAAAGTTGTACTAGATCAGAGTACTTATACTTACATAGGGCCTGGGCAGCAGTAAGTCTAGCACGAGGATCCTTCACCAACAATTTCTTAACAAAATCTTTAGCACTGTTGCTTATAGTTGGCCATGGCTTACGACGAAAATCAGGCTTGTTTCTTAGTACCTTTTAGTAGTAGAACCACAGTTAGGAATAATAGTAAATCAGCTAAAGCACAATTTACTAAACATGAGAAAGAACAAGTTAAACCTCTCAAAGAAATAAATAACACTTTTGAAAAAGATTGTCTTTAAGGAAATATCAACCAAGCCAAACTTATTCAAAGAAATATCAATAGCTTCTGTGGACTCAAAAGAGAACAAGAAAATTTCAGATTCTAGAAATTTTGATACTCAGTATACATTGCAGGGCAGGATACTCAAGAACTAAACTAAATAAGCAATAAACTGCACAGGAGATCGCATCACCAGACCATACTGCAAAGTGCGAATGGAAATTCTGAAGTTTTAAATGAAAACTTAGCTAATTAAAAAGAGACTGGAAATTTTAATCTTCAGTCAAACATGAAACATACTATGCAAAGGTCAACAAGCAATGGTAAACATGCCGAATATACAGTTCATTTCTACTAGAGCTTAGAAATTTTAATTCATTTCCAGAACTTATAAAGAAAAGACACCCTTTGAAATGTTAACCAACTGCAGAGATATTAGAATAAAAATATTAGCAGCTCACCTCCTTGAATATGCCATCCTCTGTTTTATCCCAGAAGGGCCGACGGCCACAGAGCAAAATGTATGTAATAACACCAATGCTCCACACATCTGATTCGGGTCCTGATCTACGCTTTAATACCTCTGGCGCTACGTAATATGCACTGCCAACAATATCTTGGAACTTCTTCCCTGCATTTATTGATTTTCAGTTATAACTCTTTACTATCTGAGGAAAAACTATAATACGCTACACCATTGATGACTAGCAGATTTATGAAGAAGATTACAGACCATAGCATTAATGAGCTTTTTTTAATAAGCAAAATGAGTTTACATTAAAATTTACCACCGAGTAGATTTACGGACATCCAGTTACCTGGTCTTATGAAGTCTGAAAGACCAAAATCTGTGGCCTTCAATGGTGAATCCTCCTTTGGAGATTTAAAGAGAAAATTCTACAAGAAAGAAACATGTGTAAGAAAAGCAACATGTAGCAACACAAACAAGCCAACATAACTTCTTGCAGACCTCAGGTTTCATATCACGATGCACCAAACCATGTAAATGACATTGAGCCGCAACTTTTAGCATCTGACGTACAACTATTGCTGCATCTTTCTCGGCATAATGGCTGTCCTTTCTGATAAAAGGAAATTATTGGTAACTCATATAAGTATTCTTCTTAACCAGATATAAAATATAGAGCAGGCACTACCACCCATGAATGATTAACTAAACCTGGTTCATGCTACTTACTTGGCCAAAATGCGGTCCAAGAGTTCTCCACCCTCACATAACCTAGAGGAAACAAATTTGAAATCTATTAACTCACCAGTGGATAGCGTGATCAATTATAGAGAAAGGAATTAGGACCCAAGGAATCAAAACAGAGCTCTAATAACAAAACTTACTCCATTACTATGTAGACATAGTTATCATCCTCAAATGCATTATTGAATTGAACCACATTCTCATGACCGGATAAGGCCTTCAATATCTTGACTTCTCGTTTTACATCCTCAACTGCAATCGGAAGAACCATCTGCAGTAATTCAGGAGTTATGGTATAGTTGAACTATAGTAGATTAGAACAACATGAAGTTCAAGACAAGGTAACTGAATATGCAATTGTACTAAAACTTAACAAGTATCCAGAAAAGAAACATCAGCCCCATCATTACAGAAGGGCGATCACATCTTAACTGGTGTGAAGAGATTATAGGAGACAAAGCTGGAAGAACCTTTCACCAAATGAAAATTCCATAAAAGTCAACAAAGAAAAACATAGTTGTATCAGGCATTAATAACCAAGATTTTGTGCAGTCAGTCACAGACAAGTCCATACCAAAAGAAGCTACTGGTGCCTATTGACTAGAAACCAGCTCTTTTTAAACCAGGTCAAGGAAGCCATTCCCCATCAAGGTTGTACATAATACTAACTGCAGCATCATTCATGGAAGGCAAAGGTGCAGCGCAATAGATGTTTCTCAGCATGTGTCAAACTCAGAACCACAACCACCATTATTAATAAACAACTAACATACACCTATAGGTTTCGAGATATATGTCTATTTGCAGGCGCAGCTTTATCCTCTAACCATGAATAACAGTTAACAATAGCTTAAGTTGGTATTTCAAATTTTAGCAGAAGATACAAAAGCTAAGCAAAAAACGAAAAAAACAAGAAAAGATGCTAAAGCTATTTACATTAGTGATTGATAGATATTCTGGTCTATGAACGTAAACCATTTTGAGTATCTCTGTTAGAATGCACAATAGAACTCAACTATCAGTCAATCAAGACATTTGAAAAAGAGATTCAAAAGAAAGTCGTGAACCCATAATTAGGATTTAACAGAAACGTCTCACAACTCTGACAAAAATTTCAGACAATATCCCAATTTGATGCACAGCATAATTCCACAATAACTTAAAATTCCAATAAAGTCGGATACAAAAATAATATTTTTTGGTATAGAAGAGGACGGGCAAAATGGAGACAAAATAAAAAGGGTAGAACCTTGTTCTTCTCAATTCTCTTGACAGCGACGCGATCACCATTAGACTTGTGGGTGGCAACGTAGGTGTAACCAAATTGGCCATGACCCAACAACTTGCCAATGGTAAACCTCTTATCAAAATCTTTATCAAACCCAAAATCTGTTCTTTTCCCACAAGGAATAACCCCACTCTTCTGCCTCCTCCCATTATTGTGCTTCTTAACATTTTGCTGAGAATTTCTAGGTTGTTGTTTTTGGTGTTGGCTTCTGTGGTTATCTTTAACTTTCTGTTTATTGCAATGAGACCCTTCTTGTTTTGTTGATGTAATTGTGGATGTAGAAGGTGGATTGGCTGTGTTCATCCGGACATTCACGGTGGTGGTGGTGGTGGAGGGGGTGTTGCTGTTAGAACCACTAACTTTTGAGCTGGAAAAACAGTTATTACCCATAATTGGGATATGAATATAAAACCTCAATGTTTTTGGAGAAAAAACCAAATCATCAGACAATTGAAGAAAGATTATGGATATAAGGAGAGAATTATATTGGGGGAGGAGAATGTGAATGTAAGACAATAATAAAAGAGATTTAAGAGGAAAGTTATTAGAAGGAGAAAAGAGGAAAACGGGAAGAAGGAGAGGGGAGATGAAGATGGACCATGGTCAAAACAGAGACTTTTGGAAGAAGAACCATAAGCCCCTCTTATTTTCAGTTTTATGGAGGGAGAAAAAAACTGATAATTTTACCCTTTGATATTCTTTTTTGTCCTTTTGATTTTCTGTATTTTCATTTCTTTATTATGGCCTCTCTGAGATTAAGAAAATAGACACGAGGTTTTTGGTTTTTTCCTTCTGGAATTAGGAGTCTGTTCCCCTCCCTCCTCTCTCTGGTGTTTATTTTACACGCACGTGGACTGGTTCTGTACGAGGGGACTGCTAAAATCGGCAAGTTCAGACTGTGAATGTCGGGCGGCCTGAATAACATGGGAATATAGTAAGTACGTTTAAATTTTATAATCACATACAAATTCACAGTTTTGAATACTAATAAATGTGCTTCATTTAGGTACATCTTTTAAATATAATAAGTCTACCTGTCCATTTATGAATTATCACAAATTTAGATTAAGTTCATAATGGATGTGCTGAAAAAATCCAAATACAATGTTAGATGTGTGTGAATAAGTCTCACGTGAAAAGTTTTAAAAAAAAAAATTAATTATAAGGTATTGGATACTCTTAATGCATGGTATGAGATCTTTTGAGAAACGGTGTGAAAATGACCCAAAATAAATAATATCATACCTTATTAAAAATATTTTTGGGTCATTTTAACCCAAAAATTAGTATTAAAGATAATGACTTGACGAGATGAGTACGAGAATGGTGGAGTGATGACATAAGGTCTTGTTTATTGTCTTTGCTAGTCTATAGCTTCAAAGACGAATACAATATATAATGTCTTTGGGTGACACGGTTAATCTCCAAAGCATTAAATTATAAACATTCTCAAAGGTTGGGCATTTAGCTGTTGAATGCTACAAACAAAAAATTAACCACCACTAAAATGACAGAAACCACAAGCATTTTTCGCATGCAAAAACCCTCTGCGCCAACAAGATACATGGGGAGTGGAACAATTTATTTGTCTCAACACTTTTTTTAGACATTTGTGCTACTAACTAATTAATATTATTTATACATATGTTGTTACCTTTACAAATTAACTACTCCGATTCGTCTAACTATTCATTATTTTATATGGGGGGTTAATGTGGATGGTTTTATTAATTTCTCTCAATTTTTTCACAAGATTACACTATACGTGTTGATTTTTCAATTCCATTAACGCAAGAAAGCTCTTAATGTAGTATCAAAGGGTTCTAAAAATATTTTAGGTTGTGGGTTTAGCTAGCATCGATCCCTGATAGTTCCCTCAATGAACTCATAAATAGATTTTCTCAGTTAAATAAATAATAATGGGCATTATTAGTTGAGCGTAACCATCAAATTACGTATATCTGAACATTTTAAAAAGGGGGAATAAGTCTGTTATGTGATATGCAAAAAGAAGTTTGCCCAACTAATGAAATTAAATTTTTTAGTGTATTAGTCGACTAAACTATTTCAAACAAAAACACCATCTGTTTCATGGTGGGTAAACTAAAAACCCAAACAAAACTGTGTAAATAGTGTGGTGAGAATGTTAGGAATGCCTCTATCTTTAACCAAATTTTTTGGATTCGAACCTTGAAAATAAGAAACATTTAGATATATAAGAAACATCCATAACTAGTGTACCTACCATACAATACGTAAATCCGGATTAGTTTATTTAAAACTAAATCTGGATTAGTCAGGTCAAGAAATTTCAAATTCCGAATAATTTTAAAAAATTGTATGTAAGCTCAATCCTAGAGACTGTCGACAAGAGGACGATAAGGGATATTGTAAGTTGATGAAATGTTAGCGATATAAAGGTGATTGTGTTGGACTTTAAGCCATTGGGCTTTAAAGTAGAAGAAGTGTGAATTGGAAATGGGGGGAAATAAAATTGAGGGAAAATGAAAAATTTGAAGAAGTTAACTTTTGTTTTGCACTTTATCCCTCATTGGTGAGGGACAACCACATTTGTGTGTTTATATATAGAATCACTTCTTAAAACTCTTAAAAGGAGTTGAAGAGAATTAACCCTCGCGCCGTCGCCGTCGTCGCTCGCTCGGCTCGGCTTTGGCTTTGGCTTTGGCAAATGATCGATAAGATTATTTTTTGGACAAAATTTATTTAATTATTTAATAATTAATTAAATGCCAAATCACTGCTGAAAATACGCCAGAATCCTACTGAAGATTTAGAGGGTCTCTCTGGCCGCGGTTTTACCGCGACCGCGGTAGAACCGCGGCAGGCAGATTCAGAGAGCCTCTCTGACCGCGGTTCTGCCGCGGTCGCGGTAGAACCGCGGCAGGCAACGTATTCTTCTGAAAAGGCATCTTTTCCAGACACCTCTTCTAATAATTGCCTATAAATTCTGAGGCAAGGCTCCATTTTCTATATACGAAAAACACTCCAGAACTTCTTTCTTTCTGAATACACTGCATCATAATTTGCAGTCTCTCTCTCTCAAATTCGTAAGTGTGATTTTGCTCCGTTCTTTGAGTTCGTTGGTATCCTGCAGTTTGTGTTACCACTGTTGCATGAAGGTTTATTCCGTTTTATCTTGGGAGGATTTAATCCATTACATTGGCAACGTGTGAGGGGGTTAAAATTCCTTAAGGACGCACAAGAAAATTGTGGACTCGGAATATTTCTTATTATTTACTGTTTTTTGTTCCAGTTTTTCCTTCTAACAGTTTTTCTTTAGTTTCCTCCTAATTTTGTGTTTCCACACAGAAGCGGGTTACAAGCTTAAGGAATTTTAAAATCTAACATTTCTGTGTTGAAATATATATATTAAACTGTTATCTATATTTTGTATACTGGTTTGTAGACTAAAGCCTTCGTGCTTTCTACTCCAATAATTGTTCTGTCCGGTTTAAAGTATAACAAAACTTTACCGGAATAAGAAACGTATGAGTTTGAAGTATATAAAAATTTCACCATTGTTACGTGTTGTGTGTTTGGTTTGGTATTCAGTTTGAAGATATCAAAACTTCACTGATTTAACAAAGTTCTGTTTTGTTTCCAACTCTACAGAAACATGTTGAATGAAAACCAAACTAATGGAAATGACGTCGGGAATGAAAACCAAACTAATGGAAACCATACAAAGTTCTGTTACGAGTATTGCTGCCTCGTCAAGCCGTTCAACTCCTGCTCATGCTATGGCACCAGCAGAAAAACCCGGAAAGTTTTCCAGTATTGACTTCAAACGTCGGCAAATGAAGATGCTCTTCTATCTGACTACGTTGAGTTTGCAGCGATTCATCAAGTAGGATCCTTCGGCCCTGGCTGAAGGCACTCCGGATGACGAACGATTTGTGGTAACTGAAGCATGGAAACATTCTGATTTCTTGTGCAAAAAACTACATTTTGAGTTGTTTGGAAGATAGTTTGTACAATGTCTATAGTGTCATGGAAACTTCAAAAGCATTATGGAATGCGCTTGAGAAGAAG